TTGTGGTAAATTGTAGTCAATGTCATGAGACAAAGTATGTGTGAACTGCTATATGGAAAGTGAATATGTTCTGTAAACTTTCACCCAAATCACAATTTAAAAAAAAAAAACCTCAGTCTCTATAAAAACGTAGACTGTAAGAATCTGCCGAGATGATGCATATGAACTGATTTTGTATGGTTCTTGTTTTTGTGACTATTGTAAGGAACAATAATGCAGACCACATACTATAATGGTTAGCAGCACTGGCTTTGGAATTTATGACTGGGGAAGAGCTGCCTCCTCAGAGTAGAGCTGACCTTAATGTTGTGGATGGAGTAAAGTATTTGGGAGCTCTATTTGCTGATGTGGCATGACTCAGAATGAGAAGACACAGCTGCAAACATCCATTAATAGTCAGAACATGGAAAATTGGAGGTTATAAAAAATGAAATAGAGTGCATAAAGATCGATATCCTAGGCATTAGTGAGTGAAATGGACTGGTTTGGGCAGAATTAAACAGCTATATGATCGCAGGGATTGTCGGGCTGGCGCGGAATCGGGCAGTGTTTTGTTCTGCTGTGCATGGGGTTGCTATGAGTTGGAAATGGCTCGACGGCACTTAACAACAACAACAACAATGATCTACTATGCCAGGAATGTCAAATGCGAGAGGAATGGCATGGTATTCATCATCACAAAGAATGTTTCAAGGTCTATCCTGAAGTACAATGCTGTCGGTGATAGGATAATATCCACGTGCCTCCAAGAAAGACCACTTAATACTACTGTTATTCAAACATACATACCAACCACCAAACCCAAAGACAAGGAAATTGAAGATTTTTACCAACTTCTGCAGTCTGAAATTAACCAAACATGCAATCAAGATGTGTTGATTATCACTGATGATTGGACTGCAACAGTTGGAAACAAGAATCACCAGTAGTTGGAAAATATCACCTTGGTGATAGAAATAATGCTGGAGATCACGTGATAGAATTTTGCAAGACCAACCACTTATTCATTGCAAATACCTTTTTTCAACAACACAAATGGCAGCTACACACAGGGACTTCACCAGATGGAGTACACAGGAATCAGATTGACTACATCTGTGGCAGGAGGCAATGGAGAAGCTCGATATCTTCAGCCAAAACAAGGCCAGGAGGAACAGATTATCAGCTGCTTATATGCAAGTTCCAGTTGAAGATAAAGACAATTAAAAGAAGTCCATAATAGCCAACATATGACCTTGGTTATATTCCTCCTGAATTTAGAGACTATCTAAAGAGTAGATTCAATGATACTGAAAACAGTGACTGAAAACCAGACAGACTGTGGGATAACATCAAGAACATCATCCATGAAGAAAGCGAAAGTTCATTAAAAAGACAAGAAAGGAAAAAAAGACCAAAATGGATGTCAGAAGAGACTCTGAAACTTGCCCTTGAATGGAGAGTAGCTAAAGCAAATGGAAGAAATAACAATATAAAAGGGCTGAACAGAATATTTCAAAGAGCAGCTCAAGAAGACAAAGTCAATTACTATAATGAAATGTGCAAAGACCTGGAGTTAGAAAACCAAAAGAGAAGAACTCACTCTGCATTTCTCAAGCTGAAAGAACTGAAGAAAAAATTCAAGCTTGACTTGGAATATTGAAAGATTCTATGGGCAAAATATTGAATGATGCAGGAAACATCAAAAGAAATTGGAAGGAGTACAGAGTCACTGTACCAAAAAGAATTGGTTGATGTTCATCCATTTCAGGAGGTGGCATATGATCAAGAACCAATGTTATTGAAGGAAGAAGTCGAAGTTGCCCTGAAGAAATTGGCAAAGAACAAGGCTCCAGGAATTGATGGAATACCCCTTGGTATGTTTCAACAAATGGATGCCATGCTGGAAGTACTTGCTCAACTATGCCAAGAGATTTGGAAGACAGCTACCTGGCCAACTGACTGGAAGTGATCCATATTTGTACCCATTCCAAAGAAAGGTGATCCCACAGAATGTGGAAATTATTGAATGATATCATTAATATTACACTCAAGTAAAATGTTTCTGAAGATAATTCAAAAATGGTTGCAGCAGTATATTGATAGAGAACTTCCAGAAATGTAATTGGATTCAGAAGAGGACATGGAAAAAGGAATATCATTGCTGATGTCAGATGGATCTTGGCTGAAAGCAAAGAATACCAGAAAGATGTTTACTTGTGTTGTATTGACCATGCAAAAGCATTTGACTGTGTGGATCATAACAAATTATGGATAATATTTAAAAAAAAAAAACCTCACTGCCATCGAGTCATTCCCAACTCATAGCGACTCCACCTTGGATTTCTGAGCCAGTATCTCTATGGAAGTAGGTTACCCAGTTTTCCTTCCGAGAAATGGCTGGTGGATTTCAACCACCAGCCTTCTGGTTGGCAGTCAAATGCCTTAGGCACTACGCCACTAGAGCTATTCCAGAACACTTACTAGTGCTTGTGCTCATGAGGAACCTGTACATAGACCAGGAGGCTGTCGTTCGAACAGAACAAGGGGATACTGCATGATTTAAAATCAGGAAGGGAGTACATCAGGGTTGTATTGTTTCACCATACATACTCAATCTGTATGCTGAGTAAAATATCTGAGAAGCTAGACTATATGAAGAAGAGCATGGCATCAGGATTGGGGGAAGACTCATTAACCTGTTATATGCAGGTACAACTTTGCTTCCTGATAGTGAGGATGACTTGAAGCACTTACTGATGAAGATTAAAGACTACAGTCTTCAGTATGGATTACATCTCAACATAAAACATACATCCTCACAACTGGACCAATACTGTTGATTTCTAATTTGATAGCATTGTGATCTGAGAAGATGCTTTGCAATATTTCAATGCTTTTAAATTTATTAAGGCTTGCTTTATGACCTAACTTATGGTGTATCTTAGAGAATGTTCCATGTGCATTGGAAAAGAATGTATATTGTGCTCTTGTTGAGTAAAGTGCTCTCCAGATGTCTATAAGGTCAAGTTGGTGGATTGTATTGTTTAGTGCTTCTGCATCTTTGTTGAGTTTCTTTCCAATTGTTCTATCTTTCATTGAAAGTGGTGTACTAAAGTCTTCCACTGTGACTATGGAGTCATCTATTTGTCTTTTCAATTCTGTTAAAGTCTGCTTTATGTATTTTGGGGCTTTTTTATTGGGTCCATAAATGTTTATGAAGGTTATATCTTCTTGTTCAATTGATCCTTCTGTTGTTGTTATGTGCTGTCAAGTCGGACCCGACTCATAGTGACTCCTCCTTGAGTTTCCAAGGCAGTATCACTATGGAAGTAGATTGCCCAAACTTCCTTCCGAGGAGTGACTGGTGTGTTTGAACCACCAGCCTTCTGGTTAGCAGTCAAGTGCCTTAGGCACTATGCTACCAGCGCTCCCATTGATCCTTTAATCATTATATAATGCCCTTCCTTGCCTCATATGGTGGTTTTTTCTTAAAGCTGATTTTATCGAAATTAATATTGCCACTCCTGCTCTTTTTTGGTTGCCATTTGCTTGATATATCTTTTTCCAACCTTTGATTTTTAGTCTATTTTTGTCTGTGTCTCTAAGGTGTGTTTCTCCTAGACAGCATAGTGATGAGTTATGTTTTCTTA